CCGGAGATCGCGGGAGGAGAAGGTCGCAGCAAGCCGCAGCTGCGGAGTGGCCTGCCCGAGGGGCTCCACAGTTACACGCGATGAAACCTTCGCATCAAAAAGCAAGTCTTTTGCCTTAGCCTGTTTTAAAAATCAGAAGCGATTATACCCATGTATTTTTTATGGAACGCTGTGGTATCTGTTGACTGATAAAATCTGTTTATTATAAAAATAAAACCCCCTAGCAATCGAATAATCTTGCACCTGCAATGTCAGGGTCTTTTCACGCTTTTTCTGCAAGCTCTTCTGCAGTGTCTTATACTTTTCTGTTGGCAAGGTGTGTGTGACGGAATAGAACGTTTGACCCATGTCCACACAAAAAAAGTTATTAAAAATCCTCTGTCAGCAGCAGAAAACCAAATTATTTTGTATCTTGTCTTGAACCGAAATGCAAATGTCATATCCCGTTTGTGAGCATGTAGATGCTAATTTTCTATTATTTAGACAGTGGGAGCAGAGTGCGTTAAATACTAGGCGTTTTATTACAGAGCCGTTAAATGCAAAACATGCATTAGCACAGTTATCACCCACAGAAACTTACGCATCAAGAAATACAAGAATTAAAGGAACAGTAGCAGTATTAACTCAGCTAAACGACGCTATACATTTATATACATTGCTGTGTATTGCACAACGTTAAATTTTACAGTGTAAGCAGAATTACATAGGGCTGTATTTATGTATACACAAAGCAATACTAGAGGCAAGAAGAATAGGTGCTGAAAAGAAATCTATAGTGAATAGTTTAAATAGTACTAATGCGTATTTCTTATGTGGATGGGGCCAAATTAATGCTGCTGCTGCAAGCAAAAGAGCCTTTTAGGTTTTCTGGCTCCTTTTTTTCCTAATACTGTACAGCCTTCAGCCAATCTGAAACATGGCTGGCTTGTAAGCATAATGATAATGCACTTAAGTATTTAATGATGCTGTAATATCGTGATGCTGCATTTCAAGTTGTTTTTCCAGTACATGTACAGTAAGTCAAATCCACTAGTAAAAAATACATGCGTATCCATTAATGCATCCCAGATGTGACCACCTCACTGAGTATTTACAGCCTGTCAGTGCTGTGCGACTCAAGTAAATATATTTAATTCATAGAAGTCTCGATTACAAATGTATCACAGTATTTTGATCCTTTATTTATTTCAAGATGTTTCATGGAACTTGTCTTACACTATATGGACTGGAGCATCAAGTGGATGAATGCCCTTTGTTTTATTAGCCCCATAAAAACATAAATGGAAATACTTCTTCAAAAGAATTCCAAGCATTCTTTGATTTAAAAGTTTGTCAGAATTTGGGGGACAGATGGACCCCATAGTATCCAGAAAACGAGCAATTTTACAGTTTGATAGACCTTTTATATGTTTTTGGACATTGTAACTGAAAGTAGGAAGCTTCTACTGATTTTTCTTATCTTTTTTTACCATAGTAAGCCTTTTGGTTTGTGAAATCCAAAATTTCTGATTAATAATTTTCATTAAATTGTTTTCTGATTTAAAAAAAAAAATTGCTAGCTTATTAGTGTTATGGAAGATCTCACAGTTCAAGCTTCATCAAGCTTCCATAATTTGTAATTCACGATGTTTTAAAAATGTAATAGTGTTTTTATCAATAATAGTGTACGATGAGAGATTCACTCTGATTTTTCCACTGAGGAAGTCAGTAGTGATACAGTGAAAAAAAAGTGTCCCATAGAGTCAAAGAATTAGTGATACGTGTACCAAATGTTTTGTTCTTTTTGTATTTAACACAGTTTAAACAGGGGAATATGTTTTACATTCTGCTTTCAGACAGCTATCAAACATCTGTCTGATTTCCCAGAGAGACTTAAGCAGAAACATATTTACCAATAATTTCTCCTGAGAGCACCAGTGCCACCTGTAGCATAATTCCATTTACTGGTCATCATAAAATATATTGTTAGACTAAATTTTGTATTCTACTTTTATTCAGTTTAAATAGTATCAGCTGTGATTTTATGCCTGACTTTTCCAAATACGTGGACTTACGTGACGTATGTTTTCCTTTTTAGCCGGAAGGGTAGTGTAGAAGTTTATATGCTGAGGTCTAAGCCACCCTTTCATTACAAAGGAAGTGAAGAGACTGTTTAAAAGTTCCTCAGCTAATACTCAAAGTGCTACACAACTTTTCCATCTATGTGAAACAGCTGGTTAAAGTGGAACAATTTAGCTACTCTTATACATAGGTCTTGCTTATGTCACAATGTTCAGTAATTACCCCAGCATTGACTAGTGCGATTCACAGGTTAACTCGCACTATATTTGAAGATCAGTGGGGGCCCGTCTGCTGCTGGCATTACTTGACAGCGACAGTCGCCTGGTCAGAGAGAAAGGCTTAGGACTGTCACAGTTTCTACTTTGTTTAGATTCTGAGCTCACCTCCCCTGTAGAGTCGGGGGAGTCTGGTCGGCTAGAATTTTTTACATCAGCATTGTAAGGAGGTTGAGCTTTGTTTGCACTGAAACTGCTTGGTCTTCTGCTGCTGCTCTTTGGAAGAGAGTATGTTGAGGCTCCCGCTCTCTCAACCATTGCCGAGTAGTTCCAAGACGAACCGATTCCATGTTGTCTTCTGAAACCTGTAATTGGAAAAATTGTATCGGGTTGCAGTGAAGTTTGAGATGGCATTTCAGCAAAGCTTCTCAAGCATGTGCTCAAAGCTATATCTGCATTCGGAGTACCAACAAGGAAATGTTTCTTTTCAGCTTCTTTTTCAGCATCGTGCGCTTCAGTCCCAAGCTCGCCAAGCAAGCCTCCATTATTATTTGTGCTAGCATTTTGACTTGGATTGTCTAAACCATTTGTAGCGGGCCTCTTCTTTGACGATTTATTTTCCTGGTTGCGATGGGTGTAATTGCTGCCACTTTCTGTACAGTTATTTTGCGTAGACTGAAACATGGGGGGAGAATTTAGAACCGGGTAAATGGCAGTGTCAGTTTGCTTTTCCATTAAGAAGGTATAACCGCTAAGTGCAGAAGGTATATTTTTTGGAGGAGTGGTGGATATTCTGAAAGAAGAGTGTGGTATCACAGAGTATTTCTTAGATTTGTTTACGTAGAAATTGTCAGGGTCATCCTTGTTTTTATTCTGCCCGCAGAGTCCCATTTTAATTTTCCGGAATCCTAGGTGGATAATTTCTAGGATATTCAAAAGCAATGACACGGTCGCTATTGATTGCATGAATAATATGAACACTGTCTTTTCTGTTGGTCTAGATACAAAACAGTCAACGCTGTTTGGACATGGATCTCTCTGACATTTGTAAAGGGGATCTAGATGAAAACCATAAAGAAGGTACTGCCCAATCATAAAACCAACTTCCACTGCAGATCTTGTGAAAATATGTATCACGTAAGTGCAGAGCAAAGAGCCTCTCAGGGGTGCTTTGTTTAGCTTTCTTTGATCCAGTTGCCGGAGTTCTCTCTCCAGCCTTTTCCGATTTTCAGTCATTTCTAGTTCAGTGCTTTCGAGTTCCACTCTTACCCGAGCTTTCTTTTTTTGCCTCTCTTTCTCCAAAGCTCTTAGTCTGTATAAGGCATGACCCATATACACCAAAGAAGGGGAAGACACAAATATAACTTGCAAGACCCAGTATCTTATGAGAGAGATGGGAAAGGCCTCGTCATAGCACACATTTCTGCAACCAGGTTGCTCGGTATTGCATATAAATTCTGATTGTTCATCGTTCCAGACA